TCGCTTTCTCTTTCGAAGTTGTTTCTAGCTCGGTAACAGGCTGTCGGGAGCGGAAGTATGGGATCGCGATCGCGGTACATCGTCCCCTTCCTCTTTCCGTACACCCCCGCGCTCGTGCACAGTGTTTATGCAGATAAACGTGGTGGTGATCGAAAAATGCTCGGACATCTGTCAGATTCTGTCGACAGATAGAGAGAGGGTGATGGCACGTGTCCACCGTTTCCCTTTCTCCTTCCCTTCTTCTTCTTCTTCTTCTTCTTTCTCTTCTTCTTCTTCTTCTTCGATTTTTCTTCCCCGACGCGACGAAAAGAAAGGGGAGGATCGCGGCCGGCTTCTTTGAACCTCGGGCGACGCGACGACGAGGAAAACGATCGAGAGTGGTCCATCGAGCACGATCTTCACGCGCCGTTGCGCGTTTGCACGTGCGTGTCCGGTTAAGGGGTCGGTGGGTATAAAAGACCCAGAGGTATCCACGGATAGGATACCGCTCTTTCTTCCTCGCCTCGCGGCAATTCTCAATTTCCACCTGAAGCGTGTGGGGAGAGAGAGAGAGAGTGGCAGATAGCGGTGGTGGACGAGGAGAAGGAGGAGGAGGAGGAGGAGGAGGGTGAAGACACGACACAGCCACGCGGTCGTCGCGGGGACAGAGAGAGAGAGAGAGAGAGAGAGTGGAGAGAAAAAAAAGAGGGTGCTCATCTCCGCCCTCCGGACTCACACTTCCACGTGTACGCCACGTGGAAAAAAGGATGAAACCGACGTAAAAATGCGGCGGGTGGGGATGGTGGGCAGGTGGTGGGGGTGGAAGCGGGCGAACCCCAAGGTAGGGAAAAGCGGGCAGAGGAAAGGACGTGGAGCGTGGCGAGGGTGGTGGAGGAGGGTTGTTTGGCGCGGGAGCAAGCGGCAGCCGGAAAGGAAAGAGAGGGACGGCGGAGAAGAAGGAGTGGAGGGGAAAGACGTTGTTGCCGTGGCAAGAAGGGATGGAAACGTTGGTGGTGGTGGTGCTGGTGGCGGCGGTGGTGGTGGTGGTGGCGGAGGGGCAGGACACGTTAGACGGGGCTCGGAGAAGGGGCGGGAAGAAGGGAAGGGGAGGCGAGGATCTATTCGACGAGGAGGGTGCGTAAGACGAGTAGGATGACCATCGACCAGCCTCGGCTGCGAAACGAGCATCGGCTCCTCCGCGCGTTGAAAAGTCGACGTCCTCTCCTCCCCGTCGACGACGGGGTCGACGATCCACACACGCGTCCTCCGCGCGGGATCGGGATCTCGACCTTGTCTTGTCTCAACTTTCCGAGGGTTGTTCCGATGGGAAATGGGACGAGCGACTCTTTCTTTTTAAGAAGCGCACGGAGAAAGGGAGAGTGAGAGAGAGAGAGAGAGAGAGAGGAAGAGGAGGAGAGGTTGGAGTGGGAAGGGATAAAAAAGAAAGCACGTCCCACTCCCCCTCGTTCCAGTTAGTCACGCGTGTGTAGCCATACGGAGCGCATAAGGGAGGAGGCCATTTTTATATACGACGGTCCCCCTTCTTTTTTATTCGTAATACGGACTGCTACACGCGGCGCACACCCCCTTACGTCCAAGACCCCTTGGAGAAGAATTTTTTCGGTCAGTCGGATCCATCGTGTCGTCGCGTTCGCACGCGTTCGTAACGCCGCGAGGCAACTTTGCTCGTTCGCGAGGAGGAAAGTTTCAAGGCCGAATCTCCCTCCCCGAAATTCGAAGCAGGCGAAGAAAAGTAGGCGCGTGTTTATGTTGGCGTTCGAGGAGACGGCGAGTTCGAGACGGAGGGTGGTCGGATCCAGGTATACGCGGAGAAGGACGATCCGAGTTCTTGCACCCTTCTCCTCCTCGAGGGTTATCTCCTCGAGAGGGAGGACAGAGGTGGTGGACGAAGGAGGAGGAGGAGAAGGAAACGGAAACGGGGAGAAAAAGGGAAAGAAGGAGAGAGAGAGAGTGAGAGAGGAAAGGGAGGGCGAAAAAGGGAGAAGAACGCTCCGCTCTCTTTCTCACCCCTTTGGAAATCTACCCCCATCGGCGTAGAAGACGTCGTCGTAGTCCTCGTCGTGGTCGTGGTCGTCGTCGTGATCGTCGTCGTCGTCGTCGTCGTCGTCGTCGTGGTCGTCGTCGTAGTTGCCTCCCTCCTTCCACCCACGAGGACGAGGAGAGGTTGGCGAGAAGGAGCAGGGCGCGAGGGGTGGCCGAGGGAGCGTGGAGGAAAAGGGGGAGACAGAGCGCGCGCCTCGTCGTAGGTTTAACCTGGTGGGGGCGAAGGAAAAGAGGGGTGGCTTGAAAACTGCTGTCCTAGGGAAGGCTCAGTTTTTCGTCCTCTCGGAGGTAGATTTTGGTCGTGGGAGTAGCGGTCAAGGGTCGGACGTCGGTGGAGGGTGACCTGGGCCGGGGCCCGGGTCCTAAGGACCCTGGCTCGCGTCCCTCTTAGGTGGAAAAGGGAGCCGTGAAAGGGAGCCGGAGGTAGCCAGAAATTTCGCGACCGCGCACCACCTAAGACAACGCCCCTACCCGAACACGCGTTCTTTAAGGCACGAGGGGGTGGCTTTTAGTCAGACGCACGCGGTCTGAGAAGCGCGCCACCACCGGCCCCCGACGGAGAAGGACTTAGCGTTTCTCGCGAGCCGCAGACCCGAGTCAGTTTCGGTTCCTCCTCCGTCAAGGACTCGAGAACGCGGAAGAGGAGAGAGCTTTTTCCTCGATCGTACACACGCGCGTAACAGTCTTCGTCGTTGTCGTCGTCGTCGCCGTCGTAGTCGTCGTCGTCGTAGTCGTCGTCGTCGTCGTCGTCGTCGTCGTAGTCATCGTCGTCGTCGTCGTCGTCGTCGTCGTGGTCGTCGTCGTGGTGTTCCTTCGCCTTCGCCACTGGTACACGGGAACGTAGTGGACATCCAACGGGAACGCATCTTCGCCGCATCTTGCTAGTTCGGACACGCTTCGCTTGGACGGTTGGAAGACAGAAGTCGATCGGAAGTGCGTGCAACGCGATCGCTCTCCTCCTCGATCACGGCTACCGCGATTCGACGCGCCGCTCTTCTTCGCACCACGTCCGATCCTCCGATCGGAACCAGTAAGGGATCATTTGGACTTTTTCATCGATTTGTCTGTCGCGTGATCGCGACACGCTTGTTGTTCCGCGGTGTTGTTCTCCCAGTGGTCGGTTGCGTTGGCGTTCGCGGTGACTCGGTGAGACGAGTGAGCCATCGTTCCTCGCGCACGCACGTCGTCGGGGGGATACGTGAACACGCACACGAGGGGGGGATATCCCCCGATATCGTTTACTTTTTTTTTTTCCACCGTGATTTTGGTCAGTTTTCCCCTCTTTCGGCCAACCACCGTTGATCCACCCCCTCCATTCCGCTTCCCTGACATGCCCGGTACAGACGTCATCGTCGTCTCCAGTGTTTCGTCGCGATCGTGGACGGCTCGATCCTTTCTTAATCCCCCCGTATCTTAAGGGCGGAGATGGAGTGGCTTGTTAAGATCGTCTCGTCGTTCCAAGGAACGAGAGAACACGGATCGACGAGGAATGGTCGGGACGTGGGGTTGGTGTGCCGTTCAATCCCGGCAATGTTCAACCACGACATTTTCACGAACTTTCCATCTGCCAGCTGCACGTCGCGAACGTCCAAACACGAGTGAAAACGCTACGCGAAACGAACTATCGATGCCGCGAACGATGCCGATGACTCTTTGGAAGGTGATCAGAAAAACCGTTTCTTCCACAATTTTCCTTCGTTTCGACCCTCGTTTTTCGTATTCCATCGTTTTTCATTTCACGAAGACGTGTGACCCGGAGATCGTGTGCGCACCTTTTTCCAACGATTCCTCGACGACGCGTCGATTCGTTTCATTTCGGCGAGATAGAGAGGGAAAAAAAGAAAAAAAAAAAACGCGATAGAATAAATTAGCAACCGGACGTCCGTAATCGCGTGCAACTCGTTTTTATCGGATTAATTAATTCCCGTAAACGAGAGGGAAACGTGCAAAGGACTCATTGAATCGCTAATGGATGGATGGATGGATGGATGGTTTAAACCACAAAAAAAGACCAGTGTTTTCCTACTGTTTCGTTGTGAAAAACACGAGTGCTCGCGAGGAATGCGATACAAAACGGATTAATTAAAAACGATTCGTGATTCTTTTATTTCCTTTGCTCGCGTTTTTCCTTTCTTTCTTTCTTTCCTTCCTTCCTTCCTTCCTTCCTTCTTTCTTTCTTTCTTTCTTTCTTTCTTTCTTTCTTCCTCCTCTTCCCTCGTGACGGAAACGGTAACGGATACACAAAGATAGCGGGACGCGAATTCATCGTTTGAATCGTTTGTTTGAAAGATACGTGTACGATCTTTCTCTCTCTCTCTCTCTCTCTCTCTCTTTTTTTTCGTTTACGAATTTATTTGGATCGGTGGTTCAACGCGCGACGCGACGGCGGAAAACGTTCCTTGACTCACGTGTCTCTCTTCATTAACGTGTTCGAGTTTTATGTTCGAGAGGGTACGAAAAATCCAAAATCATCATCATCATCATCTTCTTCTTCTTCTTCCTCCTTTCCATCCACGACGTCTCGTTTCCTTTCGTCGAACGAAAGAAAAGAAACGTGTCGCCGACACATCGAGTTATATTATGTTATATGGAAATCGGCGAACGAACAATCATCGTCCTCGTCGTCGTGATCGTCGCGAGTGACGGAAAACGTGTTCTCGAGTGGTGCACAACAACGAATCTAACGTTTTTTTCGTAGAATGCCTGAATGTTGTTCGTAGCATACGCTTAATATATTTGGATACGTATTGGATAAATCCAGTTGCATGCTCGTGATTTTCGATCGTGATTCATGAACGTGTCGAAGATCGATAACGCGAATTGTTGTTATTATTACGCGTGTAGTGCGCGGAAGGATGGACTGCACGCGTACCACCTCCATGTTGTGTTTAAACATGTTCGTGAGAAAACGTGGCCGGCATAAAGATAGAGTTTTTTTTTTCTTTTCTGAATTGCAG